AGCCGGGTGATGCTAGGCTTAGTTGTTAGGTAAATTTATGTAATTACAGTAGTAGTTTCAAAAATCTTAATAAAGCATTAGCGTAACTGCTTATAAAAATAAAATAAATAAAAAAAAACTCATTGAGTATAAGGGAGTTATTAGTGAGATGCAAATAAAAAACTCTGATGAGCTGTTAAATGCTAAACTTGATAAATGTGATAAATGTTTTAGTACTTTTTGAATAGAAGATAAGAAAAATTAGTTTGATAGTAAAAACATCATGGATCAACTATAAGAGTTGCAACAAAATATACTAGAGCAATTAGTTAAAGTAGCTTTAGGTTCTAAAAAGATTACTAATATGTTTTTCTTAAAAAATGTTGAAGTTTCTAAGTTATATATAGAAAATTATAATTTTATATTTAATGACACATACAATAGTAACAATAATAATGATAGTAATTTTATATTAGAATCTTTAGATTTATTATTAAAAAATAAGAGTAATAATTTGTGGCTTAGGATAGTGAGTCAATATCTTCAACTAATTTAGGATCAAAGATTTAGCAAGATAGATACAAGTATATTTCTTTCTCAAAGCTTGGGCAAAATATTATGTTATATATAGCTTATTCATTCTTGAGCAAACTAGAAGCTAAATAAAGGTAAAATTATTATATCTAAACATAGTTGTCATACAAAAATTAGATCTCTTCTTCTCTATAAAGATTTTAAATTATAAATTACTGAATATTTGCATACATATAAATTTATATTGAGGATTGCTAAATTTGTAAAATTTATTAAAGATAAGGTTATATCTGCTCTTGGAATAGAGAAAAAAACAATTATTTCATATACAACAGCAAGTGAATGGTTGCATAGGTTTGGTTGACAATATAAAGATCATTTAAAAAATATATATTTTAATAGTTATAAATAAAAGGATGTAGTAGCATATCAGCATAAACTTTTGCAAAAATTTGCAAAATTATAAAAAAAAATAACTACTTATGAAAATGAAAATTTAGATCAGATTATTTCATCTTTACTTTTATCTAAAATTGTTCCTATTACTTAGAATAAGTCATTATTTTATGCCAAGGACAGTGCTGTTAAAGCCTGAAGTCTAAAAGATGAAAGCCAACCTTATCAAAAGTCACAATATCTTAGTATATATATAAGTAATTTTATTTGTAAATCTATCAGATATCTTCAACTTTTAAAAAAGAAATGTGCTATTAATAATTTGTTACCTGATAATAAATAACTTATATATACTGAAGTCTGTATTGTTATGCATTCTGGTACAAATTGTGATGGCTGGTAGACAAGTAAAAATCTCATTAAGCAGATAAGTGAACATGCAATTCCAATATTTGAATAAACTTATCAGAAAAAATTGCTTTGTTTTTGTTTGATAATAGTTGCAACCACAATGCATTTGCTAATAATGAATTAGTAGATACAAGAATGAACATGAAGAATAGTAGTAAACAACTTCTTCTTTATAATAGTCAAAAACCTGATGACTTGACATATATCATAATGTTTACAGATATTAATAATATAGTAAAACCCAAAGGTATTTGACAAATTATTCATAAGCATGAATTGTAGATACTGGGCTTAATAAGAAAATCTAATGTGTGTAAACAAAATAATCCAGATCTAATTAATCTGAATTGTTGCACAACACACATTCTTTCTGTCTAGCTTGACTTTGCATCTCAAAAATCATATCTACAAGAAGTAAGTTGCTATATAATAAAATAAAAATTGTTGATAATTTAACTTATTAATATTAATAATTTTTTTAGATCATTGAAGCAACAGACTATATATGTATGTTTTATCTGAAGTTTTATTGTGAACTTAATTATATTGTGTTATTCTGAGCAGAAACAAAAAGGTATTCAAGCCTTCATTGTGATTACACATTCAAGAGCCTTTAGAAAGTTGTATTACATGCATTGGAATCTGTTAGCTTAATAAAAATTTACTAATTTGTATATTATTCTAAACACTATATAAGTGTTTATAAACTTGGACTTACAGATAAAATAGCTGTTTTTGTAGTAAAATAGTATTGATCATATTGCCATGTTCCTACAAGTGTTTTAGAAAAATTTGGTGATGTTAATCAGTAAACTAAAAAAATAATAATAAATAATATAAAATAAAAAAAATTTAAAATTAAATTTAAAAAAAACAAATATATTAAAAAATAAAAATTAATAAAAGTAATGAATTTTTATTTCTGCACTTCTTTTTATTATTAATTAATAAATTGGTTAACTTTAAATAAAAAAATTTTAATATGTATATGATTAGTTCATATAAGAGCATTGATGAATATAATAAATTAGTTCATATAAGAATATGTATGCATCAGCAAAGCTTAAAATATTATTCTTTATTAGAATAAAAATAATATTTTAATTATTTAGTAATAGTTATATCCTGAGTAATTGGATATATATATTATGAAAATACAACTATATTGGCTGCTTATACAGCCAATACTGTTATATTTTTTTTTTGCATATTATCTTTGATGTTAAAAACTAATATGAATAACAATACTTATATATACATACTTGATTATCTTAATTAAGTAAATATATTATTAATTAGGCAACATTAAAAATTACTTTAGTTATCCATATTTGTATTTGCCAAATTAAAAACTACTTATAAAACTTTATTCTTTATTAATTATAACTTCTTAAATAATAGTTTTTCTTTTGAACTATTACAATTTTCACATTATCACATTTACTTTATAATGTTTATTAAATAGTAATACAGTAAGGTGTGGGTGTGGGTCCCATAGCTTAGCGGTTAAGCTCCCATACCCTCCACAGTCAAGGTCAACAGTTCAAGTCTGGCTGGA